TCACATACCTCAAAAACCAAACAATGGTCGTTGGAAGAACTGATCAACGATTTCATCTCCAACCACAGTCTCAAGGCTTTTCATAACACAAACAAATATTATCCCAACAGAGACTTTCGGGTAAACTACAACTTTGACAACAAAAGGGGAGATAAAGCCAATATTCGGCTAGGTCAAATTGAAAATAGAGGCAAGCTGGCCTTTAAACCTAAAATAAATCAGGGTGACAAGAACCCTGAGAGTAAGAACCAAGTTGTATGTTACATTTGTGGAAAAACTGGTCATTATGCAAATAATTGCCATAGCAAGAGGGGAACAACTCAAGGTCCTCATCGATGTCACATCTGTAGGGGCAATCACTATGCAAGAGAGTGCCCGGCTCGAAAGTCAGATCATGATCGTCCTTTAAATCAAATTTCAACGAAGGGTAAAGAAAAGATGATCGAGTATAATGTTGGTGATGATTGGTACGATGAGTGGATGGAAGAAAATGGGATAGTAAACAACCCAGAGATTGAAGAGACGCCACACTCAAGTAATGATGATAGCTCATGCTATGGAGTGAGTTTAAACTTTGCCCATCAACTGAATAACGCATCAATTAACTCTTTAATTAGAAAGAGGTGGCTGTTTGATACAGGGGCTGATATTAATGCCACTAACAACCTAAAGAATTTTGTCAAGGAGTCTGTAAGGAACTTAAGACCACGGGAGGTGGCAATAAGGACAGGCAGTGGAGTTATTTATCCAGAGAAAATAGGCGAAGTATGCCTCAAGGTCAGAAATTCAAAAAATAAAGCGAGAAGGCTCAGATTAAAGAATGTCTTTTATGTTAAGAATCTTCCCGTAAACATTATAAGCGGCGAATTGTTTTACAAAAGTGGATGCTCATTACAAGGTGAAAAGCTTGTTGACAGTAATGGAAGTATTATATCTTTAATAAACGTCAATAAACGAGGATTTTTTCTCTGGCTTTCTGGAGAAGATGAACCAATGAAACATATCAAATCAGGATTCCCGTGCCAATTAGACAAAGAACACAACAGTAAAAATTCAAAAATTCCCTCTGACGAAACCATTAGAAACCTAACCTTGTGGCATCGAAGATTATGCCACCCAAGCGCAGATAGGTTGCGGTGGACAATTAAAAATACTACTGGCATAAACCTAACCCCGAGTGATGTTATCAATATACCATGTGAGGCTTGTGATCTAGGTAAATCTGTAAAATACACTACCAATGAGAGACGACGACGAGCTGAATACGTCGGAGAAGGATGGCACTGTGACTTGGGATCGAGCAACCCTAAAACCATGGATGGCAATAGTTACTACTGTTTAACGACGGATGATCTATCTAGATACCGTTTCCTCAAGCCACTGAAGACCAAAAAGGATGCGGCAGTTGAGTTGATGAACATCCTGAGAAATATTAACGCTGAACTGCAGCTTGAAGGGAGAAGAGTCAGGTGGATTACAATTGACGGAGGCAGAGATTGGGGCATGTCGAGATTTGAGGAATTCGCTGCAGACCAAGGTATAGATATCATTGTGTCCGCCCCAGACAATCAGCATCAGAACGGAGTGTCAGAGAGAGGAATTAGGTTCATACAGGACGCTGCCCGATGCTGCACAATTCAAACAAAAATACCATCGGTATTTTGGGACAAAATAATGGAGACAACATGCTATACACTCAATATGACATCTCAATCTCCAGTCGATCAGCACAAGACCCCATATGAAGTATTCTGGTCAGCTATGAAAGGCAGGCCGATTAAGCCAGACGTCAGTCACCTCTTAATTCCCGGATCAAGATGCATAACACATGTAGAGAAGTCGCGCAGAATTGCAGGAGAAAAGCTAGACCCCAGGGGTGCAAGGAGTGTGTTTCTCGGATACAAGGGACGTACAAACAAACTTGTATGGATATTGGGCGGTGGGAGATTCTTAGTCTCACCAAATGTTTTAGCATACGAGAACGTTGGTAAAAATTTGGGTTGGCCAACAGAACCCCAAGAAGTAGTGAGGTCATTGCCAACCAGCGTCCAACGTCGTTTGAGAGCTAGGAAAACCAACTATGCCAGAGAAGAGGACTACAATAGGACACGAAGTGTATCACCGCCACATGAACCTAAAGGACCAGGTCGGCCAAAGAAGACAATTAGAAGACCTTTTGACGAAGCACCATTGTTCGAAAGTCAAACAAGGAACAAGAACATGAGCCCAAGCATAAACAACGAAGATGAACGCCCAACAGAGGAGGACTCAGATCACGAGGAAGAAATTGGACAAAGTGCCCATTGCCTCATAGAAAAATCAATCAAGAGGCAACTCCATAACCTACATGGAGATGGAGACGACATGTTTAGGCTATTAGCTAACTCTTCATCTGTCGCTAAACAAATCGTATCACCAGATGAACCTAACCTGCAGGAAGCAATGAGTAGCTCCGAGAAAAACGAGTGGCTAAAGGCTATCTTTACTGAAATAAAGGGGTGTGTGGATAGGAAAACATTTCAGTTTGTTCCAAAAAATTCAGCCAAACAGAATGGCCAAATTATCTCAGCGAAATGGGTGCTTAAGAAAAAGTACAAATCAAATATGGAACTGGACAAATTTAAGGCTAGAGTTGTAGCAAGAGGATTTTTACAAAAGAAGGGTATTGATTTCAATGAAACAACAGCTTCTACGGCTAGATCAGCTAGTTGGAGAGTATTGATGGCATTGGCAGCCATAAATGAATGGCACATTCTGCAAGCTGACTTTATATCAGCTTACTTAGCAGGAGACTTAAAGGAAGTCATTTATATGCGACAGTTTCCTTACCTCAAAGAATTTTTTAATTCAAACCCAGATCTAAGTAAGGCATCAGGATATACAGAGGAAAGTATAATCCAACTACAAAGGCCACTGTACGGATTAAAACAATCCGGAGCGTGTTGGCAAGATAAAGTTAAATCATTAATGCATACTCGAGGGTTTAAAGCGTTGGCAGCCGACGACGCAATTTACTTTAATAAAGATAGTGGAGTAATAGTAGCGTCGTACGTTGACGACTTTCTATTAATAGGGCCTGATAAAAGTAAAATCAGTGCATTAACAAAATCCTTGAATAAATCAGTGCCACTGAATGACTTGGGAGAAGCTTCATGGTTTTTAGGAGTCAGAGTCCAAAGATCATCACCCACAGGGAGTGTGAGGTTAGACCAAAAACAATACATCGACAGGTCAATGATAGAACTGGAATTACAGAGTCAACGGCCCGTACCAACACCTATGTCAGTTGCTAGTAGGCTAGACATGAAGAAATATAACGGAAAAGCCTCGAGCACAGAGCTTTATAATTACCAGAGATTAATAGGAAAATACAACTTTTCGGCATGCATGACCCGATGCGACACTTCACAAGCTATGTCTCAATTAGCGAGATACATGTGTAATCCTTCTCCCCATCACCACAAGCATGCGCTGAGAGTAGCCCAATATTTGTCTGGTAGTGCAAACAAGGGCTTAAGGTATACCAAAGATCACAGACACGTGAATGAATTCGGGAAATATGGATTGCATTGTGCTGTGGACGCTAGCTTTGCAGATGACTTTGAATCATCTAAATCAACAACAGGCTATGTTATATTTATGGGAGGAAGCCCAGTCATTTGGAGGTCAAAACTACAGACAACAGTATCTACACTGACTTGCGAAGCCGAGTATGCAGCCATCTTCGAAGCAACAAAAGATTGCGCTTGGATAAGGACATTCCTGGAAGAACTGGGGCAAATGCCATCCGGACCCATCCCTGTCCTTGAAGACAACAACGGAGCAATCAAATGGGCTAACAGTACAGGAATCAGCTCTGGCCGAAGACATGTTCGTGTAGAGTACAACTACGCCACACAGGAAGTTCGCGACAAGAACATTACCATAAGGAAAGTGGAGTCAAAATTGAACCCAGCGGACGGCTTGACTAAACCGCTTAACAATGCGGCATTTAACGAGTTTGTTGAAAGACTTGGAATGGTAGATTGATTAATTAGCGGATTCAGGTTTAGGGGGCGTGTAAAAGTGCAAGGGAAATAATAATTGTGTAAACCTTAATCCTTGCATGTCCTATGTTAGCCCTAATAAGCGAGCGACGCTAAATGGGTTGATTTATGGGGGAACACTCTATACTTGGAATATGTGTAACTTTTGTATACTTAGATTTATATATACCGAGTTAGGGTAATATAACTTCACCTTTTGAGAAAGGTTTTTATAATATTAAAAGAAATCATGGGATGTCAAATCAGGCTAAATGGATTTAAATTTAAATTTAATACCAAAACCCGTGGCAAGCCATATGAGTCGTGAGATAATAACCGATCACGATAGTAATAGCATCACATACTACATTGTACAGGATTCCAATACTCTTGTAGTTCGCTCCATAAGTTGATTAATTTAGACTACTAAGTGCCAGTATCTATGAGTACACTTTCATCATTCTGCCTGTGATGTGAGATACCAGTCTAGCGCGAGAGTAAACATTTAAATGAACAGACAAAAAACCCATCAGAGCTATATTGCACAGAAATTTCATTATACGCCGTCTCATTTGGAACTGATCTTAATCCATGCACTTAGGATATGTGTTCATTCTTCGAGAAAATAATATGATAATTCAATAGCAGCTCTACTCAAATACTAACTCTCGTCAAATATAAAGTCTGAACAGAATCTTAATAGAACACTACAGAGAGGTCCCATTCTGAGCAATGTTTTGCGTTGACGACGTATGCGAAGTAACTGAGTTGAATCAGCATAAATTAATGAAACGACTCATTATTTATGCGGTCATGTTCCGTGGAAGATCAGTTAACGTGGGATAGTGCACCTAAGCGAGTTTAGTCACACAATGTGCCACACACTAGACTAACCGAAGGTAGGTATACAAAATTATACTCCATTGTCAAAAACTTCATCAGCAAGTGAAATCCGCCCTCCCACCAACAGCAATCATGAGCGCCCTCAACAAGATCGCTGCAAATAGCACCTCGAGGCAGAATCCATCTGAGCTCGAAACTAGCATTGCTGGTGCTCTCTACGACCTGGAGGTAAACACCGCCGACTTGAAAGCCGCCCTCCGGCCTTTGCAATTCGTTTCTGCAAAAGAAGTAAGTTACTGTTCTTTCAGCTTATTAGAGCTAGATCATGAATGAGGCCATAGCCACCTGGCCAACAGAAAAACAACGCAGCTTGACAAGATTGGGCTACACAATGGAAGGTGGTGTATAGGCCACATGTAACCACTGTTGGATTCAATAGTGCTTTACAGGATTGGGCGGGATGCGGACCATATGTTTCTTATCCTTGAAACGTGGAGATCGCACGCTGATTTTAATCTCTCGTAGATCGAAATCAACAACGGCAAGAAGGCTATTGTCATTTTTGTCCCCGTCCCTTCTCTTCTAGGATTTCACCGCGTGCAACAACGGTCTGTCTTCTTCCATAACATCCCTATCTAGCTGACAGCATTAGTCTTACGCGCGAGCTTGAAAAAAAATTCTCGGAACGTCACGTTCTTATACTCGCATCTCGTCGCATTTTGCCTCGTCCTAAAAGATCAAATCGCTCGAGAACTTCGCTCACACAAAAAAGACCCCGATCCAGGACCCTAACAGCTGTCCATGACGCTATTTTAAATGACCTAGTTTACCCAGTTGAAATTGTCGGAAAGCGTCTACGTACTAAAGAAGACGGTAGTAAAATCATGAAGGTAATTCTGGATGAGAAGGAAAAAGGTGGCGTTGATCACCGATTGGATACATATTCCGAAGTATACAGGAAACTGACTGGCCGTGGTGTCAATTTTGAGTTTCCTCAGGGTAGCGCTGATTATTAGTGTCATACAAAAATTGTCCTAATATACTTCAATCTGGCTCTTAAAAGTTTCATTGCTCTAAACATGTAATACGATCATCTTTCAAACATCCATCAACCCTAATACTTGTAAATTGTGGAAGGTGTCCAGTCTATCATGTGAAACTGAAATTGTAAAGGAATAAATATCTCGAGGTATGATGAGTATATAAATTATAATTCACTCTAGATTTACGATGCAATCGTGTAGCTTCTCTCAGATGGCAAGGATTAGAAAATAAGATACAGATAATGATGACGATTAGTAAAAGTGATGCAACAAAAGTAAGAAAGAGTAATTAGATGTCCTAGAGATATTAGTGCGAGCAGTATGCAGAGTAGTCACGAATGGTTCGATAGGTGAGAATAAGTTGAGTCCAACATAATAACATCCCGACAACGGATTACCAAAAAAACTGAACACCCCTAAAGACTTTCAGGAATCTATGGACACATTCACACCTTACACATTCCTTCAATGTCCTTGTAGCGAAACATCTCAGACTTGTCGATCGATAGGAGAAGACCTAGATCAGGATAAAGGATCCGAAGATTTTGAAAAGACCTTTGATCCCAAGGCAGCGCGATCAAATTACAGCTTGTATCCTCTCGCACACCTTTTATACTGCGAAGATTGTCGACAGATACGCTGCCCAAGATGCGTTCTTGAGGAAATTGTGACATGGTACTGTCCCAACTGTTTGTTTGAGGTGCCAAGTAGTACCGTCAGAAGTGAAGGAAACAGGTAAGCACTTTCAATCTTTTTCAAGCAACCAACTTATATTTGAGAGTAGATGCACTCGAAGCTGTTTTCAATGTCCAATTTGCGTAGCGCCCCTCTCAGTGTCAAGCCTAGAACCTTCGCCGGAGGGATTAGGGGCAGATCAGGCAGCGCAGAATGGACCATTTATACTTAACTGTCCTTATTGTATGTGGACAAGCAAAGAAATAGGTATCGAGTTTGATAAACAGAATGGAATATTTGCACAGTTATCCAAAGTTATGAATGGCGGCAAAACAGTAGTTGTTTCACAGGAAAAACGAAAAAACAGGGAAAAACGATGGAAAAGCTATCCTGATACGATAAACATATCGGTGGAAGACGTTCAGAAATTCCAGGATAGAGAGGCTTCCCCTCAAGATGGAGTGCTTGATATCGAAAGCCAGTTTGCCAATTTACACACTTTCTACCAGTCCCAACTTGCTGATGCCACTCCCGTGGGTACTCTTGGTCTTGCGAGCGATTTTGGTTATGGGTCACCAGGAACTTTGTCAAGAATTATGGGACTTTACACCGGTAGTAATTTTATGGAGAGGAAGTCCAAAGTTAAATCTAGAGTTATGCGGGAAGCCTCTACTGCCTCAGAAGGTCTCCAAGCTACTGAACTCGAAGCTATGGACGAAGACGATGTTATAAACCAGTTACGTACTGAGGGTTGGGAGAATTTGACAACATGTTCCCAGCGTCGAGATCCTATAAACAAGAGAAATAGATTCCTTTCTGAATTACGCCCCACACCCTACCTCTTGCGGACCAAACGCTCCAAGCGTTGTCGGGCTTGCCGTCACATTCTTTCAAAGCCCGATGCAAAGCTACAGAGTACTCGCTTTCGTATCCGTCTTATTGCATTAAACTACATTCCCAGTATTAATATCCGAACTCTCCAACCCTCCTCTAACCCTCCTCTTGAACCGATGAAACCTGTACAATTCTTACTCACATTTCAAAATCCTTTGTTCGAAAAAATAAAAATCACCTTGGCAACACCTGCGCAGACTCCTGGGAGATTTAGCAGCAAAATTACCCTACTTTGCCCCGAATTCGAAGTCGGCGCGAACACGGATATGTGGGACGAAGCTTTGAAAAATGGAAGCAGCAGTACTAGAGATATTTTAGTCGAGAAAAAGAAAGTTGGTATCGAGCCAGTAGAGTCTCAGCTGCAAGGTGAAGCAGGGAAGGTGTTGGAAAAGGGACGAAATTGGGCTTCGGTCGTCTTGGAAGTATTACCTTTATACCCAGAGGTTAGAAGTCCCAATGACTCACTAGATAAAAAAGAGGGCATACCTAACGTTGGAGAAGATGAGGATATTTGTGAAATTCCAGTGTTTGTACGAATAGAATGGGAAACTGACACGACAAACGAAGAAACTAGTACTATGGTTTCAATGAGTAAAGTGGGAGAATCTATAAAAAAGAGGGAACTGGCGTATTGGTGTGTACTTGGAGTTGGAAGAATTGCATGGAAGTAGTTTTATCTTTTCAATAATGATATTATTATATTTTTTCAAGCCCCGGACACTAATTTTCGATTTTAAAATATCACGGTAACAATGAAATTGATGTATACGTGTCCCCAAATTAGGAGTGAGTGGACGGGTTTGTTACGGCAAGAAAGGTATAATGAATTTTTTCAGCTGAGCAATTAAATTCACCGTATTGTACTGTTGTTTGAGAGCAATAAATAACATCTGTAAGGGGGCCGAAGAGTCAATAGCTGTAAGCAGTGTCCTTTTCGAACTTCCAACTCTCAGTAGAGTTTTTACTGCCGAGATTGAGAAACAGCTTTCCCCTTACTTCGACGGAGACTCCCAAAAGCTCTTGCGGTCTCTATCGTATCCATCTCTCAACAACCCACTACTACTATTATAGTAAAGCCAGTCAAGATTAGATCATTTGGTGGTATCGAAGCTCTACCTGTTATCCACAGGCTTTTCTTCGTCATGGATAAAAAGGCATCCAATGGGTTGCATGGACATACTCTGTTCCCGAAACGGCGGTAATGACTTGAATCAAGTTGGCCGCTTTTGTGATATGAAAGGTATATTCATATGGAAATACACAGCTCGTGTGGCACTGATAATTATGCTTCGACTAGCTATTGTCGTAGATTTTTTTCTGCGCGCGCATTTTCCATTGCTACCTTCTATTTTATTTTATGCATAACAAAATTTTAAGTCCCCATCGAGGATTTGCTTGTGAAGGATTTTTTGGGTAGGAGGTTCGGTAAGAGAGAGTATACTTAATCATGCTATTTAAAGTTGTGTCCGCGCACAGCTTGTGAGCTCCCACATACCGGTTAGCCCAGTCTATATAAAACTACCCGACGTGTAGTCGCCTACATAGACCCAACATGGCAAATGTGAACCAGGATCTTGTTATCCTGCGCTCGAAGTTTGATTTTTCATGAATATCGGCCTCCCGTTGCCTCATGATTTACAGATTTTAGTCCATGGAGAATACAAAGCAAAGAAATAAAATTGGTAAATATGGGAATTGGTTACATCACTTTAAAGCTCTCTAGCTTTTAATACATGACCAGCTATTAAATGCATGAACTCCCTCCGCCGAAGCAAGAGCCCAAGATATGGCGGGATTAAAGATCTAAGCCCTGTAGAGCTGTATCTGGTGCTGCCCGAGGTGGCAATCGAAAAAGTGGTCGGGTAACTTCTTTTCTCCGCATGGGCAGGTAAGGATGGCATTTTTGTACTGGAACCGTCGATGATTGTCTGCGTAATCACCATATCCAGATAGTGCAGCTAAAAGATATCTTTTTTTAGCATCAGATCTTAAATGCGTATGCAGCTATCTAGCTATGACACAATATCAAAGAAAAGTATAGAATAGATGATTCAACGCAAAGGAAGAGCACTCATGCCTCAGATTTCATTTGCAAGTACCACTGCGAAGTTATGGCGGCTTTTTCTTCACCCCAAATCAACCCTCATCCGTGAATACCCACTCAGGGGAACATCTCAAAAACCCCAAGTTATCCTGGCCACACCTTGTACAGTGCTCCTTGCCTCTCATGTTTCTTAAAAGGTCATTGACACATTGCCCTTGATGAATTGTCATTCAGCCACCTTTTCCACAGAACCTTCTACCCAAAAAATTAAAAATGGTAGTTATGGAAAACGCGTGCGCGGGAAAAAGTCTCAAAAAACCTGCAGCCCCAGCCAGGCGAGGCCTAGACACCGGGACCACATGAGGTGCGCATATTCATCTATATCTCCCTTCTTTGCAACAGTCGAGGTCGACTCGATCCAATCCGCCATCTCCGTATCGGGTGTTGGGTACGCTCCGCAAACTCATCGGATGGCTTTTCCTCCGTGATCAAGGTTTGGTGATGAGTAGGGCTCCGACCCTACCATCTGATCTGATGGTGGTTAGCTTCATGATAATGGTGATAGGGGAATGTGTTGAGGGATGAAGACGATACAGACGGCGAAAGCGATTGGGAATCCTCATCGAAGTGAGGACTTTGTTACTCAATCTCGGCTCTGCAGACTCAACAGTGAGAGCTGGAGGTTCGTAGGGGACACCGCTGACAGGTGTTGAGAATAGTCCCCCTGGTGATCTTAGTATTAGGACCAATACCTAATTCTTTGTATTTAGACGGTATGTTTTCAGCCCAATAGAGTGCAACGGAAGCCTCGTATTGGGCTTTGACTTCCCTTCTTGTCCTCGATATCGAGAGTGCCAAGTGTGGAGCTAGAGCCGCATAGGCTCTTCAGAGAGCGCGTCGGCTGCTTCGTTTCCAAGAATGCCCGCGTAGCAAGAGGGTTGAATTGTACGGGTGAGTACTGATTTGAATGGCCACCCATCACGGGTATTGTATCAGAGACCTTTTTTCGTAACAAAAGTGGAAAGGAGCACCATACAACATGTTGCTCGAATTAGAAAGTAAAATAATTTGGTAGATAGTCATTGACTCAAGTCGTACAATAATAACCAAAGCAATCCAACGTGCTGAGATGCGTAATATCCCTTGATCTCCATTTGCAATAGTCTCAGGGCTTGAGACCCTCTCGATCTTTACCTCACCCTTTCGGGTTCAATCTTAGTTCATATCATCTAAGAAACCCCTTGTATTATTTGAGTGCCATTTTATCATTTTAAGGCTCCCCATTCTTCCTAGATTTTCTCGACTATTCTACCTTCATTTTATCCGTTCGTTGATTTCCCAATGTTAAGAACTTTCCAAGCTTTCTTACTTTCCTCGTCTCTGCCTTACTTACAAATTGAAGTACCAGTATTTACGAGTAAACTATCGATATCTAAGAATTGACGTCTCTGTATTTTGCCAAAGCTTTAGATAATTTGCTGTGTATACACCGGATATATCTCATCAGTGACGGTCCTTCAAAGACCTATTTTGAGAAATACACAAGACCAATGCCTTGATCCTATCTCCACAACATGCGGCACTTTAGGGATTTTGAAAGTTGTCTTATGTCTTTGAAAATAACCTAGAATTTCGGAATTAGCAAGAGAATCTATGGGTTTAGAGGTGGTTATTGTCTGAATCGCGAGGTATGTTTAGGCTTGTAGGGATTTTTGCAGTCAAACTTTTGAGCCTGAGAGCCGTCAGTTTTTTTCAATCGAGCATAAAATATTCTTAAACTCATCAATAGCTTGAATAAGAAACGAAGATAATGAAATCTGTTGTTCGTGCAGCTATAGAATCTAAGTAGTTGGTGTTCTCGGCCAAAAGTAAACTATGCAAATCCTCATTACCCCCACCCCGTCGAGAACTTCTGAATCTTTCCTTTTTTATAACCAAAATTTAGCGCCAGGGAATTTTTTCACTTAGTTCGGGGTGGTCGATACTGGCAGGTCTGAAAGTTTCGCTCTATAGGCTATCGTGTTGAGTCACTTTTGTAAGTCAATCTCAAATCATAGTATATTAGCGAAGACTTCTATGATTTAAAGGTGCTGTTACTGTAGATTATTTGAAAACCTAAAACTGATAGCAGTAACATTGGCATCTTCTGATAGAACATATTCAAGTCGTAACTCCATCATGCGACAATTTTGACACATTTGTGACATTAATTTAAACAGTTTAAGCTCTGTTATCACTAAAATAAATTATTATCCCGAGAAGTTATTATATAGAGCTCCTGGATATTATGAAGCTGACGAGAATCATTAATTTTCGAATTTGGTATGTTAAGCTTACAGCCACAAACCTTTCTAGTGGCGAACTAGGTTATCTGGAGGAATTTGTTTATTAATGCTTGACCATATACCATCGTGTGATCAGCTACCAAAATATAATGACTGGTGAAAGTTCTGTTTGTAATTTTTGATAGAAGGACCCTAATATACCTCATGCCAATATCGGTCACATTTAATTCTCAGTAGGACTAATTCATTTGAGCCACGCTTAGAGCCAAAGGCACTTATTGAATCATGATCTCAACCTTTCCAACGTCATGGTGGTATTTAGTTCTGGCACCTCCATTGGTCGTACAAGAATAGTCCTCATAGAGCATAAGCCTGGTATTAATTTCCAAGAGAGATCCCTTGAATAGTTATCCGTTATTTTACATTAATTTACTGTCTTATACCTGTGCGGTTAACATCGTATATGTGCTAAGTATTATATCGGAGGTATCGAAATTTTTTTGACAGCTTATTCTCAATAAAATTATCTCTAATTTAGCTTGTTGACTGTGATATTGTGTTAGAAACGCAGCATTTAAGACATAATCTGAAGTTAAGATAATTGTTCGGAAATAAAGTGTAAATTTGAAAGGGTTTAAGCTACAACTCTTTTCTTCACAATAAGCTGGGAGGCATGAATTAATATTTAAAATTATTATACTTGAGTATCATGCTTCGTTTTTTCGATATCTTATCAATAGGATAAGCGAGTTGAGGAAAATAGTCATGTAACTTTCTGTAAAATCATCGTTAAATGCAGAGAATATTACAAAGTTGCACGTATGAATTTAATTACCAGGTAAAATGTTTTGAAATCTTTCTTGCAGTCATGTAACTGAATCGTTTCTCCGGCAGTATGTGAACTTGATGGAATTTTGTGGCCTAACTTTTGGTCAAATATAAGTTAAACTTCTCTTCATCTGAAGAACAAAACAGATAAAAATTTGTTCCTTGTGTTTCACAATCACTTTTCTCGTCTAACGAAATTTGACACCCGCGTTGGTTGAGAATACCGCCATTAAACACCAAGAGTCCTTCCAGGAATATAATTGATGAATTGCGAACAGTCAACTATGTTATTCGTGAAGTTAGGGGTTAAGTGCGAAGCAAAAATAAAGCGGTGCGCTTTAATACCAATTTCCATTGAATCGACAAGAGGCTAAATTGAGTCATCTAAGTCTGTGGTCAATTGTTTCTAATTTTCCAAATTATCTTTAATTCTTGATTGATTTATCTATTAAAGATTAATTCTATCATGCCGTTAGGATGAATTCCTATTTGTTATATTCATTTTTGCATTAATACTCGTGATGGGGGATTAATAAACCTGGACAAAAAAGTCATGGGTTTCCTGAGACTAACGAGAAATCGAAGAGTCTGAGAACAATTGTTAAGGAGACTTGACATTATGGTGTTAGACATTAGAACTTGACGTGTAACTGTTTGGCCTTGTGTCTCAGGCGGATATATATTATTCCGTGTGCCGGAAATTATCCGTGACCCACAAAACCACATCACAACATGCGTCCGTGAGTTGGACAGCCGCGCGGTTTCGTCAAGGGCACATTCGAAATCGCATTAACTACATCAAAGCTTCTGTACAGATGTTACAAACAAACGAAGCCCTTTCAGCTCGCCTCTAGTTACATCAAAATATCCGCATAGATTGCAAAGAACTAGAGGCGAAAGTAGTCCATGGCGCCGCTGCCAGGAACACCACGGCAGCGGCCGACAACGAGCAGATCACGATCCACACGCCCAAAATCAAGTGACACACAGCAAAGTGATTCAATCTTAGCTAATAGCTCATCCGAACCTCCTCACAAGAAGCGAAAATATATACCTGGTGGTCCTGGTGGCGGAGGTCGGTACGTCGACGAGGAAGGAAACGAATTACCAGTTGGTGGAACTGGACCGGGTGGATACAACTACATTGGTTCCAGAGGGCGAGTTGGTAGACAAAATGCTGCCATAGGCCTCGTACCTGAAGTATTCAACAGAAAAGACCGAGGTAGTCGCTCCAGAACTGTGCTTCCACGATCTAAGACCACTTCGATGAGGTATAGCTCTGCTGCTCAGGTCGCAGCCGTTGCACAAAGTGATGGCTATAAACCCCGAGAAGAGCGCGCCTGGGAAGAGTTTCACCCACATCTTGATATAGATGTTCCGTTGCGTGCATTTAGCGAGTCCGAAGTTCAGGGTGTACAAGCAGGTGCATTATCAATATCAGGAAAATCGAAGGAAGGTCAAATCATAGATTCAGAGGGAACTAATGCCAAAAACGGGGGTGTGCTTACCGATCCAGCGGCCAACATTTGTATACCAACATTTTGTATCCCCGGCACTCCTGGTGGTGGCAAGCGACGTCCAGGCCGTCCGCCCAAAGATCCTGTCGCATTCTTTGCTGCTAAAGCAGCTAAGTTAGGTAAATGTTTTAGTATTGGTACCTTAAAGATACCGAACAATGCGAATTTATCAGTTTACAATAATCCCAAAGAAAAGCTCACTCTGCCTCAGCCGTCATATCGGAAATCTAAAACACTGGCACGTTTCGAAGATAGGGCTCTTGGACTCGTGAAGTATGTTGATAAATCAATGGCTAATATTGGATACCAAGAGAGTGATATTTTCGTACGTCCAGAAAGAACTCTTATTAAATCTTCTGATATAAATTTTGAAGAAGATTTAGAATTTGGGTCAAACTGCAAAAGCGATTTCGATGGAATTACAGCGAACAATCCAGGGGGGGTTGGACGTGTCGAATATGATATGGATGAACAAGATGACAAGTGGCTAGAAGCGTATAATATTGAGCGAATAGCATCAGGTGTGGATAAAATCCCGCGTGAAATCTTTGAAATAACTATCACAAAGATTGAAAAAGAATGGCATAATCTTGAAAAGCGTATTCCGAAGCCAAGCCCAAGGCCACCTCAAACTCACAGGCCTAGATCAAGCTCAGCTGCTGCTGTCAATGGTGAGGCTCAATCTGGCGAAGAACAAGATAGCAAGTGTGCCATCTGTGACGATGGAGATTGTGAAAACACAAACGCCATTGTATTCTGTGACGGCTGTGATTTAGCTGTACACCAAGAGTGTTATGGTGTTCCATTCATCCCTGAAGGACAATGGCTTTGTCGCAAATGCCAGCTGATTGGCAGAGGTGTGCCTGTATAATTTGCTCCCACATCTTCGAGACAGACTTTAGTCGCTAATACTTTGAGTAGACATGTATTTTCTGTCCTAATACGGATGGAGCATTCAAGCAAACAACTTCTTCCAAGTGGGCCCACCTTCTTTGTGCTATGTGGATACCAGAGGTTTCTCTTGGAAATCATACCTTCATGGAACCTGTTATGGAGGTCGAAAAGGTGCCAAAAACTAGATGGAAACTGAATTGTTATTTATGCAATCAGCGAATGGGCGCTTGTATTCAGTGTGGCAACAAATCATGCTATCAAGCATTTCATGTCACTTGTGCTAGGAAGGCGCGTTTATTTTTAAAAATGAAAAATACACACGGCTCACTATCGGTTTTAGACGGTACCACAAATATGAAGGCCTACTGCGACAAGCATTGTCCAGCTGATTGGATTAGGGAGAATGATGTGATTACTGCAACTCGGGATGCACGAGCTTTTTACAAGAAATCTATGCGTGGGCGACTATGGGCCGACAGTCATACATCGGCTTTAGAAATGGCGGCAAATTACTGTCATGCTACTCCTGAATCGCAGCAAGATGAATCACGACTAACAGGCATTAAAGTGACTCTAAATCTTGGCGACAGCAAAAAGAAAATTAACCAGCCTCAAAAACCAGTCTGGAAACTGCCTTCAGGTGCTCCTGTTATTCCTTTCTGTGTGTTTGAAAAAGTTGAAAAATCACTCGGTAGATTTAACTTTCAGAAGCGCAAGGACTTTACAGCAGACGTCTGTCGATATTGGACGCTCAAACGAGAAGCCCGTCGTGGTGCAGCTCTTCTCAAACGTCTCCAACTTCAGATGGAGACTTTCTCTTCTCTAGAGATTACTCGCCGAAATTTTGCTGGAATGGGACCAGCAGGCAAACCAAGACTCAAAAGGAGAATCGATTTTGCAAAAACTCTTATGAAAGATATCGAAAACCTCAGGGACCTTTTAGAAGATGTTGTCAAACGTGAAACTGAAAAACTTGATGCAGCCAACCTTGAGGCCGACTTCGTTGATAAAGTCTACTTTCCAGTCGCTAAGCTTTTTCCTCCAGTAATTGAACATGCTCTAACGTAAGTTTTTATGAATCTTTCTCGATCTTGAATTGACTAGATAAAGACTTGATATCAAAAATCTGTTTACAGAAGATCTAGCTTATTTGCAGCAGAAAGTTGAGGTCAGATTCTTCACATCAGTATTACCATTCGCCCAAAATCTGAGCGATCTGTTCCGTAAACGTGTCACCATCGAGCCTAAGTTTGATCCTAATATGGAAAGTTCATCAATAAAGTCCAAAAACCCATTATCTGATATAAAAGAGCGCAGGAAACTCGCAAAGCGAATTCTTAGTAAAGCTGTTCAGCCACAGCTCGAAAACGCAATTCGAGTGGAGTCAGAGATCAGTGGTACACCAGCCAAAGGTAAGATAAGGGAATTAATAGAGTTGCTGGATTCCGTCTGGCAAACCGAGCCACAACATTCTAAGAAATTAAGTCATCTGACGAACTATGACACTTTACCTAATACTGCTCCTGTAAATGAGAATATGGGTCTTGGTTCATCATCACCTGAGATCCCCAAAATCACTGCGGAAAATCACTTCAGTGCTGACTCATGTATCCACGGCCCCAATAGAAAGCAGGATATTGAATCTTCCGCTAGTGTCAGTGCTACTAAAAGCAGAGTCAACTTCAATAAAACAACCTCAACAATTGATACAACACCTGGACAATTTGAGATCGTCAATGGTCCTATTTCACAACTTGAGCGTCTAAGAACTAGAAGTATATCACCTAGTAGCCTTGACTGTTCTCTACAGACAAAGGATCCACACCCTGGACCACCTACGCCACCTGTATCCAACAGCGATACCGGTATACTTCCAGATGATGTTTTAAGCGCCGGAGGCGTGCCATGGGTATTTGACGATTTCAAGGTTGAGGGGACAACAGCTCTCCCGGAGAAAAAAGCTTGCTTTCCTAGTGGTTAATCATGCGGTTGAGATCAAGTTAATTTGAAGTTTCTTGAAGCACATGTCAACGTAAATTTGAAGATTGAATCCACAGAAAATTCGCAGTAATTCTGAAAATGGTGGGGCTGAGAAGCGAAGAAATCGCGCGTTGTAGTATTCGTTTTTAGTAATTTGTATATGGTGTTGTATCATACTCTGCTTCCAATGGAGGAGTAAGGAAAATTGGGATGAATCAGTTGTAAGGGTAAATAGATAACGGATAATTAATATGGGTGATGCCTTGTGTGATATAGACCTGTAATAAAAGAACTAGCATGGTGATGATAGGATTAGTACACTGAGGACCGAGTTTTGATCTCCCTGTAGCATGCCACAGGCCTATTTCTGATGAATACTTGCACTTAAGTGTCGTATTTGACTGCTTATAGTTATCAGCCAAGTGGTGCTTATGCCAATTGATGCTGGCTACTAAGGAACATAAGTCTAATGATTTTCTCGAGGCAATTGAGTGTGAATCTATTTTACAAGATTTTCCACTCAAAATGACGGCTGAACACCGTTCAACTGCGTAACCCAAATGATCTGGGTTGAAAAGTCTAGTCGAAACCAAGATCCAGCTGTTCAAAGTTACTGATTCGAGAGTTTTGACTATTAATCGGGAATAGTGTGTACGCTCTTTATTTTGCTGGAACGAGCTTGTAGCGGCCCAGAGGTTGGGCAATGTGCGGATAACAAATTGTTTGTCCAAATAAACGTTCAAATTAGCCGCTAATCTACCTTGAGCTCTCATTAATACAGGCTATTCTGCAGCAAATACCCTTTGCCGAAAATCCTCCAACATTTCGGTGCGACTTGTGATTTTCTTAAGATGCAAACGATGAAAAAAGTTGAAAGCAAGCTAGCATGACAGAGAGCGTCTTCCTTGCTAGGCTCTATAGATAAATGTGTACTAAGCCAGCTTCTCGGACCATTGCAGAAGAGCAAACGTATCTTCAGAATCAGTCTTTATCTCGGTATTTAGGTTATCTCGAGCCTAATAGTCTTTGAAAGTTTTCCCTTGTCGTCGCGTTTTGTTTCACAAGTCAATAAGTGAGTTCAGTTTAATCCCAAAGGATTGCAATACAACTGGACCAAGTTTAATTACTAATTATTATGTGATTATATCTTTATTCATCTCATATGCCCGCTTAGGTGTATTGTTTTTTTAATCCATACACATCCTCTGTAAGTCTAAGACTATTGTAGGATATGCACTCCATTAGGGCTGCATATTCTAATACCCGCTACATACAAGGTTATCCAATATTTATTGATCCAGTTGGTGTATTGTTTTGTTGTGCTGGTGACGGCCAAGATTACTATGCACAAGGGTAAAAATCACTGGGGGCGAGGGAAAAACCTTCCAGGTAATTCCATGATGACATTGAATAGACAAATCATGGAGCACTGTAAGGGAAGCCTTTCAAGATTATATTAGGATGTTCTATAATTCGCCTTTGGGAAAATAAGGCGAGTCTAGTTATCGCAGACGTGTATATAAGAAGACTTTTCTATCACTTGTCTCTATATAGTCTGACATGTCAATACATCAGCAGTTAGAGTTAATTTGTTGTTGATCATCCCAAAGCCTTCACCCAATAAATCCTCTGTAGGTTCTTACCTTTACGATACAGGTGCTATGGAGGTCATATATAGCTGTAGTATTTGCAAATAATCTCTAACTGTCTAGAAAAATAAACTATTGTAGAATATAATTCCGTTGGACAACTAATACAGGAATAATGGATGTAGTTTTGATAAAGTATAGTGTTAAAACTGACCGTTTATACCATCAATGGTCTCAGCACCCATTCAAAATGCTGTGATACGGCTCCCACTAATTTATCGCTATTAGTCTCATCTTCGAGCTACTATTGAACTACTAATACAGGGTATATAATATCTCCAAACACCCTGTCCTTTTAACTCTTAATTAAAAAATAATTACAACCACAACTCCGACATGTTTTATATTAATTCATTTTGTTGTCCTTTCTAAGTCTATGACTATGTAGGACATGCAGATTCTCTCTGCCTACAGGCCGGGAGTATCTATACCAGTAGTATGTCCCCTCCTATGCCTCCCATACAGCTCCCCTCAGACAGTACCACCCCTCACAAGTCCTCATTCGATCATACACTCAGAGGAGCCCTTAGCCCTTCATTATCTCCCCTCTCCAGCCAACAAAACGATGGCCATTTGCGGGTGTATGGCAGCCGGGAAAATTCGCAAAAACCACTGGGTGCGGGGCTCTCCTAATACCGACATTAGCACCAAATCCGAAGACATAGTGATCCTTCTGATGCGTTCAAAGAGGCCGGCCAGCTGGGCGCTGCAGACCTGTGGGTACCTCGGGAAATTCACCCTCTGCCTTTCTAGCCTCCTTCCAACTCCTTCCCGAAGGTGGTGCTGAGATGTCAGAAAAGTCTTGATAGAACGTGATTACTGTATAGTAACTTAGCCCAACTTCTTTTTTGCCGTCCAGGGCGCTGGGGAGTGCCGTTAACTCATCGATTAAAGATGTCCTCCAGACTTATCAGCTGAAATCTCGGTCTTGAGGCCCAAAAAAAAGTTCAAAGTTGAAAATTCCTCGAAAATATCGGTCCTAGCATGGTCTTCAGAGACCTGTTCCCCTTCTCGCTCCACATCTCAGCCGCCTGTGCCTCGTCAAGATGTAAACCCCATTAGAGCATCAGTCCCCCATAAACAAAGACCCCAACGTTGTATATTAGGACTTAATTTTTTTCTTGCGGGTATACGTAGCGTCGTAAATTTGTAGTGAGTGATAGTCGGTAATGAATGAGGCAAGCTCCTGTTTGTAATTGGAGTGACGCCTTTATTGGTCGTTGAGGCGATATGATGCGCGTTTAGATCGGGGTTGAGGACTCAGAAGATGATGGTGAGTGCTGCATGATTGAGAAGTCGTCAAATGGAGATATGCATGTGTTTGCTTTTGACTTCAATCTGGATGCGATTCTTCTTGGCTATCCAAGATATGTAGAGCGTGCTGAGCGATAACACCGGCACCACTGGAAGGTGAAGAATTCGTCTTTGCCGGATCCAACATGTTAATATGTAGGGATGGGAATATTTGACCAACACTCTTTTGATGTAGCAATGTACAACCTAAATGTGGGATTAAGCTATTAGAAGTCACGCATTACTAAGTAATCTGGCACTAGGCCACAGCAAGTGACTAACTATGTGTAGATAGAAACACCAGATTAGATCAGATTTATATTATAGTCCTAACTGAGTCAATGACTATAAAGGCCTACTGGAATCTATATATAAGATATTAGCTACAATTATTAAGTTCCGATTGTTTAACTTTAAACTTTGCTCTCATGGACAGCGCGGGAAGAGAAATTGCAGAACCTGGCAAGCTGAATGATAACAACTTCCCACTTGTGAAGGTGCGACATATAAGACTAGCCTACAACTATGCCCTCAGGTTACGAAAGATGCAGCCCTTGCATCCAATACAATTGCAGCTACTTAACTCAGTTCAAGATGAGCTATCCATAGGTACTGCCATCAGCCTTGACATGATAGATGACCTCCAAGAAAATAATACCCAGCTCATAAAGATTGGACACCTGCTTAAAGAACTCTCAGATCGCAATAGATTGGAAACAATCAATGCAGAATGGGTACCACCATGGCTAGCACATAATGTGGATACAAAAATAAGTAATTCTTCTAAGCATGCAGCAAGGGATGAGCATATTCTTCTGCTAAAAGACATCCCAAATCATGCATCAATTGTATACACAGATGGTTCCCTAACAACTAGCCATGGAAGTATCCTTGGATTTGTGGTATACTTGCCATTCACAAGACAGGTTAAATGCTTCTCTTACAATCTCGGACACACAATGACAATCTCGGATACTGAGACATATTGTATCTTGATAGCTATAAAATACGTCATCTCCAATAAACATTCCAGAGAGATCTGAGTCTTCTCTGATAGTCAAGCAGCAATTCAGAGGGTCAGCAAAGCTAGCAACTTTATTTCACATCAAATAAGATTAAAAAGCAATAAATATCAAATTCGTCTACACTGGTGTCCAGGCCATGAATGTATTGCTGGGAATGAGCTAGCAGACAATCTGGCAAGAGGTGGAGCCAAGAAAATTGTCAATAAAAGAGATAAATTCACAACTATTGCTAACCTTAAGCAGAAGACAAAAGAAATGATTCTCAAAGCCTGGCAAAATGATTGGGAGACCCAAGTCTTGAGACAGGAAGAGGTTAGAAGGGCTAAAGAACCGGGAAGACTTTATCAAGTGCAAGCCAGGAAAAGATCACCTGTCATCAAAATGAGACCTTACAACTTCAGTTATTACAGTAGAATGACACAATCTTGGGAGGGCAAGACTGAACACCTGTACGCGGTGTCCTCTACGAACCTGGGAGTGAAATATTCCCCCAGAGCCAATTTCAGTCAAATTTCGCAATATCGAAGAGGTTGGCCCACGAGGCAAAAATTTAAATTACTCCACCACGTCAATCTTTCATTCCCAAAGAGTCCGATTCTCGACTAAGCTTCATCAAGTCTACAAGTACGACATAGTACATCCTCACCCCAATGATCACACCTCTAGTCGACTTTCTCTGGCCTTAGTTGACCGCCAAATACACGCCCACGCCGATATTTATACCCGACGGAGGAAGCAAAGTGTGGCGCACAAATCTGGGAGATAGTTCTTTGGGATGGACGTGAGAGGGGTCAGGACAAGTTTACAAGATGATGCAAAGGAAGGATATAACCTGGAAGGGAGTGAAATTCCGAATTTGGGCAAGCAGTTTTACGAATTGAGCTTTGTGCGCGCCAAGACTTCGCTTGTGAGAGTGCAGCTGACACTATAAAAACAAGTAAACGATGGAAGGTGTTGTGGTCCGCCTCCTGGTGATGTTCTCTGGTATGGTTTGAGTAGCCTGGGCACCTACTCCACTTGGGAAGGAGACATCT